GAGAGAGAGAGAGAGAGAGAGAGAGAGAGAGAGAGAGAGAGAGAGAGGCTTAAGATTAGAAGAGGCCATTTCAGAGTTTGGGGACTTTAGGATATATCATGTACATGATACTTCCCAGGGATGGGGGCCAAATCTAAACAGAAAATTCATCTGTAGGTAACTTTATGTAACACTTTTGGTGCACCATATTTTTGACTTTGGCCACTTTAATGAGGTCAGGTATGGAATTTTCATTTGTGGCATCATGTTTCTCAGAAAGTTAGAATTGGAAACATTTCAGTTTTGACTTCAGATTTGACTTCAGATTAAGGATGCTTAGCCATTATTTGCATTTTCTTGAGAGACCCAGTATTTGTTTGATTCTGAAAGGGGTCTCTTGAAAAGAGTGAAGCATGCTTTTCTTCTTTTGGCAGTATACCGACTACAACCTTAGTCTTCCTTTGACTTTTATTTTGTCTATTTGGTTTTTGCAATTGTGCTGGTTAAAAGCTTATATTTTATATTTTGATTTTAATACTTAATTCATTTATTAGTCTTTCTCAGGTTTGTTTTCACCTCATAACAGAAATGGCTTTGTTTAATCAAAATTCATTATTTTGAAAATGTTTTATTAACTCTTAAATATTTTATTGGGCAAAGACAAATGTTTCATAGATCAAGTTTGTGGTGGACATTTTTCAAACATAGTAGCCAGACAATAGTCTAGACATCTTGGAATTTGGTTTTTGTTTTTGTTTTCTTTTAGAGACAGGGTTTCTCTGTAGCTTTGGAACTCACTCTGTAGATCAGGCTGGCCTCAAACTCACAGAGATCTGCCTGCCTCTGCCTCCCGAGCGCTGGGATTAAAGGTGTGCGCCACCACCACCCGGCGACATCTTAGACAGTAAACAGGTGAACAAATAAATAATATGATTTCAAGAGTGACAAGTACAAATAGCCTAAGTAGGGAGTGGTCAAGAGAGAACCTACTTTAGGAAGTCAGGGAAGAAGAGACTTTTTGACATTTGA